TGCAGTCCCCTCACTCCTCCATCACCCCCAAAACTCCTTCCCCATCCCTTGAACCCCAGCTTTAGGGTGGTCTATCCCTCCGGACCTCCCCCCAGGAGCTTTTGTGTCCCTTTTTGCCCCTCTCCCCCCCCAACCCCGAGTTGTTTTGCAAGGCTTATTCAACGTTTCCCTTGCCAATAAACCATCTCCCCCGCCTTTAAATGACAGGGTTGGGGACTGGAAAGAGCAGCAAAACTTGCCGACAAGGCAGAGACAAAGGGGGGTCTGGGTGCCAGCTCCTCGCCGAGGCTCAGTTAACCTCTTCCCTGGTGGGGACACAACTTCCAGGCACCAGGAATCCAGCCCCCCCACCCCTTTGCAAGGCAAGAAGGAGGGGAGTAAGGAGTTAGCTCAGAAATATTTCCCTTTAAAGACTTCCAGCAGTCAGGGACCCCACACTCTCTTGCTGAGAAAAGAAAAAAAAGAAAAGCGTTGGGTTTTTTCCATGACATGGGGGAAAAAGGAAAAAAAAAAAAGAAAATAATATGGAGAAGGGGGTTGGTTTGAGGTTGGAAAAGCGTGCTGAAAATCCCAACAACTCCGTGGTTGAGGGGAATCGCAGCTGAGGCTGGTGGTGGAAGGGCTGGAGAAACGGGGTGAAATCTGAACCTCCAGCTCCCACTTTTCATCCCTGAACCCCCAGGAAACAAAATCCTGGGGGGTGGGTGGTGTTTCATCAAGGATCAAAAAGTGGTATTTTCTAAGCAGGGGAAGGAAAGGGTTTAGGGGGAAGTTCCCCGCTCACGTAGGTACTCAAAGGCTCCGTTTTTGGAGAGGAAATGCCTTCCTTAGATTAGGGGCTATTTCAAATAGCCTTTTCCAGCTGCAGTGCTAGGGATAATCGCATGGATGCTCCGCTCTTCTGCCGCTTCCTCCCAGTACTTGGCAAGAAAAAGCAGATCCCCTTCTTGGCTGGACCCGTCCGGTTCATTCCCCCTCTGTCTCCCTTCCCAGGAGGAAGGATGAGGTTCCTTCTCTGCTGCTTGGGGCTGGCGGCGCTCCTGGGGCCCTGCCTGGCCTGTCCCAGCCCCTGCTCCTGCTCCACCAAGAAGAACGGGAGGCTGTTGGCTGAGTGCGCCTACAAGGATCTGCAGGAGGTACCCGAGGGGTTGTCCTCCAACGTGACCATCCTCACCTTGTCGGCCAACAGGATCGGCTGGTTGGGGCAGGGCTCCTTCGCCGAGGTGCCCGAAGTGCAGTCGCTGTGGTTGGGCTACAACCAGATCGGGGTGGTGGAACCGGGGGCTTTCGCCTTGTTGGTGCACCTGAAGAACCTGGACCTGAGCCACAACAAGATAGCGGATTTCCCCTGGCAGGACCTCCGTAACCTCAGCGGGCTGCAGATCCTGAAGATGAACAACAACCGCCTGGCCGGGCTGCCCTGGGACGCTTTCCGCTTCTTGAAGGACCTGCGCTCCCTCTGGCTCAACGACAACGAGTTGACCACCTTGGCCGAGGGCACCTTTGACAACCTGCCCTCCCTGTCCCAGCTGCAGATCTTCAACAACCCCTTCAACTGCTCCTGCAAGGTCTTCTGGCTGAAGAAGTGGACTGAGAAGACCTCCGTCTCCATCACCAAGGGCGGGTCTACCCTGTGTGTGGCTCCCAGCAGGCTGAAGGGCAGGGCGGTGACGGACATCCCCGACCACCACTGCATTGCCCCCTCCGTGCAGCTCACCTACCTCTCCAACCTGGACAACACCGTCATGTACGATGGCCTCACCCTGACCCTGCACTGCAGCGTGGCGGGCAGCCCTCCGCCGGAGATCAGGTGGAAGATCCAGACCTCCAGCCGCCGCGTGGAGATCAACGGGCCCAACGTGGCGCGGGATGGAAACGTCAAGCAGAGCCAAGAGCGCTTCTTGGTCTTCAAGAACGGCACCATGGCCATCCCCAACTTCCGCAAGGAGGATGAAGGCATCTACACCTGCCTTGCTGTTAACGACGTGGGCATGCGGGATGTCTCGGTCAACGTGGCCTTGGCTGGGTCGGAGAATCCAGCTGAAGACCTGCTCCAAGATGACCCCCAAGCCAGCCACCTCGGGGGTCGGAGCTGCTACAAGGGGGATGAAATGGATCCCTCTGGTGCTGGAGAAAAGCTGGTGATCGTTTACCACATGCCGAGGGAGTCAAAGAGCAGGTCTGGAGGAGTGGTGCCCCAGGTCCACCTGGGGACCCTCCTGCTGGCTTTGGGCATCGTGCTCCGCTGTTAAAGGGGGGAGAAGGAAACAGTGCCTTGGGGGTTCCCCCTCTTTCTGTAGCTTTTATCTTCTCGTAGTGCCATGCCTTTGCTGAGCTTCTGGGAACTGTGGGTGGTCAGGAGTCAAAGGGGGCCGAGACTCAGGCCCAGGGCTGGTTGTTCAAACCCTCTTTAGATGGGGGTCAGGGCTGGGCTCCATTAGTTGAGAGCTTCAAACAAGCTTGGGTGATGTAGAGCAGATCCTCACCCTGCTGTCGCCTTCCAGGCATCCAAATCTGCCACCTTCTGACTTACCTCCCTCTGAGACCAAAGTGCGGCTGCAGGATTAAAGTCCACCCTCAACAGGGTGACCATCACCCACCCCTGAGCCCACCACCGTGAGCCCTCCTCCACCTGCAGCAGTGAGGGGATCTCTCGCAAAGAGGATCCTATGGGTCCAGCGGCACCAAAGAGGACATCCTCGCTGTGACCAGTGCCCGGGGCCTTGGCCAGGTGCATCCTACCACCAACCTCCCGTGAAGTGCCAGGAGCAGAAGGACCAGTCTGAGAGTGGAATAGCCCAGTCCCAAGGCACTTGGCTTTGAGGGACAGAGATAGGATGGGGTTTTGTAAGCAGGATAGGTATGGTAGGACGTGCAACCTCCCGTGAAGTGCCAGGAGCAGAAGGACCAGTCTGAGAGTGGAATAGCCCAGTCCCAAGGCACTTGGCTTTGAGGGACAGAGATAGGATGGGGTTTTGTAAGCAGGATAGGTATGGTAGGACGTGTTGGATGGGGCCATGGGCTTAGATCAGGCCATTTGGTGGAGTAGGAGAAGCTTTCCCACAGGTTTCATGCCTGCAGGAGCACAAAGGGCTCCTGCTGGCTGGGTGCTGGGAGCACCCAAGGTGCCTGCACTCCTCCTGCGTGTTGCAGGACCAGGCCCTGCCACCCTTGGTACTTCTCCCAGATGTGACGCAACTGATTTTTTACTATTTTATTATTTTGTTGTTGTTGTTCTCCTCTTCCCTTTCAGCCTGAAGTTCCGAAACGCTCGGCTGGGCTGGACCCACCGAGTCACGCTGCTCCAGCTCCAACCCCAGCAGGGGTTGAGGGATTGAGCCCAAAGAGATCAAAATAATTTCCCAGTGCTCATCTCTGACGGGAAACTGAGGTGGGGGTGGTGGT